ACGAGTGATAAGCAAGATGGCTAAAGTGTGTGACTTGTATTTTGATCTGGAAGCTGAGTGGAGAAWGGAACATGGAAGACCAAGGATGGAAACAGAATGGAAGTTTCTGTGTAGGCCTAGGTGATGTCTAGATGGTAGCTAGGGTGCCAAGATTGGAGCTGKAGAGATGCAGATGGGTTAAGCCATCCTATCCTGTCAATGGTTTGGAGGAAAAGAAGAGGGATCAAAGGTGACTACCCCATGATTGATAAGGAAACTAGGGTAGCTTCAGTGCTTTATCTAATATTTTCCTTAGCATCTGAGTCCATAAATAATTTTTGGAGAAGAACAGCAGTTTCACAAACTTTTAAGATCTCAAATTCCAAAGTGATTAATGTTAGTCTCATTGCCTCAGAGAATACAGCGCAGCACTGAAATCCTACAAAACCTTACGAACAGGAACATTTCCGACTACTTGGTAAAAACGTATCCAGATCTTATAAGAAACAGGTAAGAAGAGACCTTTGATTCTTATCATTCCGGGCCCCTATAGACACTATTGACTAGGGACAGAACACTTTACCTATAACCATGGCAGTGAAATGTTTTCTGTTTTCTAATGTGAGGGCCTCATCCATGAGAAAAAGCAACTGAAATACATACAAGCAAAATACCATGTGAGATTCATTTCATTTTGCATTTTTATGTTTAGAGCAAACAAAGTTTAACCCAGGCACTATTAAAAATATTACCAGAAACACAGAATTTATTAAGTTATGCAACCTTGTATTTTAACTGGTTAACAGAGAAAATTTTGGAGAGGGGAGTGTTAAGTCAAGAGGTAGAAGAAGAAAAGAGAAGCAGGAAGGAAAAGTAAGAGGCAAAAGGAGAAAGGACAACCTTAGGTCCAGAGTGATAGTGCCCCTGGTGAGGGGTGACCAGGTTAGCTACAGTGGCCATACTCCARCTCTAGGTTATCATCTATTATCAATGCCCTTGAAAACGCCCATGAACCCTTCARTACGTATCTAGTYSTCTCAGCTCTGCAGCTGTTCTTACCATGCCCCACCTCTGGGAAGGCCTTCAGCATCCCCTATCAGAGCCAACAGCTTGATAAGAGATCCTAAGGAACTGTGAGCCAGTCCCCACACGTCTGGACTGTAAAATAAAACATAGCATCTAATTTTAGTAGTATTTTCAGTTGGTTTCCCAACCAGAGCCCTGAACTAGGGACAAATACACTCAAATGACTAGAACACACCACAGATGGTGAAAGCAGCTGCTGGGAGGGCAGAGCCAAGCCAGCAGTTAGCAAAATGAATGCCATCCAAGCCCAGAATAACAGCAGTGTGCACAGAGTTGATTCAGTAATGCAGTAAGCAGCAGCCACTCTCCACAGCACATTTGCAATATGGGATTTTAGATTTTTTTTTWACTCACTGGTTGATGACAATGAAAAAGRGCCTGAACTCTGAGGTCTAGGGTTGSTRTCTRCCTGTTTCCCATCTTGTCATTTTTCCTCTGATTGTCAGAAGTCAGGGTCTTACCTCTGAGTGAGGAAAGTCAGAATTTCCCCCAAGTGTGCAGGGGATCTC